AGAGGGACGGGGAGCCGGCAGGTTGGGGTCCTGCGCCGGAGGGCCTTTGGGGAAGAGTCACCGGGACGAGCACAGCGCTGGAGCTGAAATAACCGTGAACCCCGGATAACCGCTCGCCACCCCCTCGTCCCGGCCTTTCCTAGGTCGCCGCCGCCGGGCCCCCTCCCAGGCGGGGTCGGTGCCCCTGAGGGCTCTCTCCACAGACACTGAGGCTGGTGCAGAACGGGAAGCTAGGTCGTTTGTTAAAACGCATTGGGGTGGGGGTGGGGGGCTCACGTCTATGGTTCAAATAGTTAAAAACTCTCCAAGGAAAAGAAAGCTCCGCCGTTTGGTTCCCACACCAGAGCCATCTCCGCCCCATCCAACGCCAGCTGCTTCCCTGGGGCCGCAGCGGGCCGGGCCCTCCCACCGGCCAGACCTCCTCCCCGGAGGTGCGGTCTCCCAGCCTGGCCACGGCTCCGTCCACCACCCCCTCCCTTCACGCCCCTCTGGGCGGAGGGTTGGTCACTTTCTTCACTTTCCCAGGACCCGGCTGTACTATTTCTGCCCTCCAGGCAGGACATCTTTCCCAAGAAGCCTGGGGAAAACGGAATTCCTTCTGTTAGCTAGTGGGCTGGGAGGCACCTTGACAGAGATAGGGGGTGTGACCAGAATCCGGGGGCACCAGGGTCACTTCTCAGTTCTTCCTAGCTCCTATAGCTTAACTTCCATAAAGTTGGAGAATGTACAATACAACTTAAAAAACTTGTTTTATTTATTGATTTTTAGAGGAAGAGAGAGAGAAACATGGATTTGTTGTTCCACTTATTTATGCATTATTAGTGGATTCTTGTATGTGCCCTGACCAGGATCGAATCTGCAATCTTGGTGTACTGGGACGATGCTCTAACCAACTGAGCTACCTGGCCAGGGCCACAATCCTCATAACCTTTTAAGTTCACAGCCATCTAAGTAGAAACCTACATCCTTACTTAGGGGCCCAACACCTTAAAGGTCAGAATTCGTCATCTGGTCCCTGCAATCCTCAGCACAGGCTTCTTCAGAAAAGGAAAAAAGAAAAAAAAAAGAGGCATTTCTGTGAAGGGATTTAGATTCCATAATTTAATTTCTATATAGTGACAGCCATGGGAGTAAATACACAAGATCTTTTGTATTAGTTAATAAAAAAGATGGAAATCAGAAGCAACAAATGGAAGACCATACTGCTCATGATACATCAGCTACATGGTCAGAAAACCCATTCCTAAAGAACAACAGTTGCTGGTGTCATGGAGTCTTATTGCATTCACCAGGGGAACGGTACGCTCTGGGCAGGAAGGTATCGTAAGTCCCAATCCTTAAATGGGACTCCTCTTGTTACTTCCTTTGGAGCCAAAGATGGAGGGAGAAAGGGGATTTTTTTGTTGTTTTTACTTTCATTCTTTTATTTTAGAGAAAGGGAAAGGGAGAAAGAAACTATGATCGGTTGCCTTCCATATGCATCCTGACCAGGGATCGAACCCACAACCTGGGTATGTACCCTCACTGGGAATCAAACCCACAACCTTGTGGTGTATGGGATGACGCTTCAACCAACGGAGCCACATCGACCAGGGCAGGAATTCTTCTTTACGACCTCATGACTTCTTGAGACAGATCAGTCCAGCCGGATACAGAGCAAAGAATCTTTGCATCCCCACAGGCCAGTTGCTGGTATCCATCTTTATATTTTTTTAAAATGTAGAAGCCTCAAGGGGTATGGAGGATAGCAAGAAGAATGGCTGCCTTTGCCCCAAATGCATTGGAGGGTGGGGAGGACACTATCTGGGCTCATCAGGATCCTCTGCATTCTGAGAATATCATGCATCCACACCACTATCTTTGGAGGGGGCTAGGTGATCGAGTTACAGCTCTGATTCCTCTCTAGGAATAGAGAGTGAAGATGACTGGGAGACACAGTAGCAATAAGATGGGGTAGAAGAGGACAGAATAACAAATCCAACTGGAAAAGGGGTTTGAGAAGGAGTGGGGGGAGGAAGTATGCTAGGCACACACCTCCAGTGGGTAGAGGAGGTTCCTATACTTGAGACCTCCATTCTCTTGAAATGTCCAGGGTTGACCCAGGTAGAGACATTACCTTCTCCTGGGAATAAAACCTCAGGGATGGGTAGGCATGAAGAAAAGAAATTTAACATGGGGAATGAACCTTAGACCCCTGGCCTATCATCCCAGCCTACAAAACTGTCACTCCTCCACTGAAGGGTTCCAGCGCCAGAAGGGGTGTGTGGTCTTGAGGAGGAGCAGAGCAGTCAACTCCTTCAGCTAGCCGTGAACACTCTGGCCATCCATCTCTGGGCTCCTGTGTCCAGAAGTACAGAGGTGAGGATGGAAGTGGGGTGAGGGAAGATTGGAGAGAGTAGTCCATCCTTGACAGAGACTTTCTCCAGTTTTCTGCATAATCAATCACAAGAGTCCTCTTCCCACCTCCATGAGGTGCCAGCCTGCTGACCACTCTCCACCCCACCTGTGTGTGTAAGATTGGCCATATCTCATCATGTGTGCATGCCTGCACCCACATCTGTAGTATCTTGAAAGTCTTTCATCCCAGGGCCTACCAGGAAGCAGGTATGCCCCAGTGAGTTCTATAAAGTTATCAGCAAAATTCAGTCACTTAGTGTTCATCCCACAGAACAAAGTGCATCCAGAGTAGTTGCTTGAGCCAGTTCCATCTGTCCAGTCAGGTCCTGAAGACAGCAAACAACCCCCTCCCGCCAGATTCTTCTACTTTTATAGAAACAACAGAACATTTTACAAAAATCAAGGCACTTGGGAGAGAATCAACAGTAACACTCTAATGAAGCAAGCAGACATGTTAAAGGGGAGAAAGAGAGGGAAGAAAACTGGACAAAGGGGAGAAAAGATGATGTATTTCTGAGGGCCAGGAAGAGCCTACTCAATAAGATGGAGTTATTTGGAAGGAAGGAGCCTGTAGCCTGAATTTAGCAGAGGAAGAGAAGTAGTGACCAGAATCTCCACAATTCCCCCAAGGCTCTCAGAACCCCACCACCTTGAACATAAAGTAGCAGTGACCACGAAGTCTCTTAGGCAAAGATGTTGGTAATAAAATCCAGGAATCGCTTAGCATACTGCTCAGGATGGACGGTAGAGATCTCTGCCCCAGCCTACGAGAAGAGGTATGGAACATGGTGTCAGGCCATCCCGCTACTCTTCCGCATTCCTCATCCTCTATTCCACTCCCCACCCTTTCCATACCCAACACTTCATCCTTTTGTCACCCCACTGCTCTGGCACAAGAGACTCTCTCTTCCCAAGGAATAGTCAAGATAGGAAAGGAAAGGCCTCCGGGAGCCCTCACCCCATGCTTGACAGTTTTGGCTGCATGAGCTGCTTTCTTCTTGGCATCATACTGCGTCAGGATGTCAATGAGGCCCATGAAATACACCTCCTTCTGGGGGGCCCCTGGAGAGAGTAACCAGCAATGAAGAGCAAGTATAGTCCCAATTCCCTTTCCCCAGGAACCAGTCAGATCTTTGAAAAGCTAACCAGCTTCTCCATCCAGCACCCCAGTCTCTGTCCTACAAGGACTACCCTCCCCACCCTTAAAATGTCCAGGATCTCTCTTACCTTCAGCACTCCGGATGGCGTAGACATCAATGAAGGATTCAAACTCTCCAGGGCCCAGGGGCCGATGAGAAAGCATGTAGCTGCCAATACCCTCAGGGGAGGTGCCATAGGAGCCCACCAGAGCAGGAGGTCCAGTCAGGCCACAGTCCCCATCCCCCTCTGACTCCACCTCCCGCACAGGCCCCTCCTCCTCTGGTTCAGAGCCACGAATTATGTCATGTATGCCCAACAGAAGGCTGTAGTCCATGATCTTCAGCTGCACTAGGAACTGAGACCCCAATGACAAGTCAGATACCCTGAAACTCCCTCCCCAATCCCAGGTACCACCCTTATACCTCCCACAACCCCTGAATTTCTGGGGCCCTCCTGGGAAAGGAAGTGTGAAAACTGAGGGTTGGTAGTATACCATTGGCCTTTAGTACCTAAATGTCCTGGTGTCTAAAATCATCCTTTTAGTTCATTCCAGCCACCCCCTCCATGCATCACTTCT